ATAGGCCATTATTTAAAAAAATTAAAATAACTAACACATTTAATTTCCATTAGTTTGGTACTGTCGCAGAAAATGAACATTGTTCCAATTCATTCAAGTGGTTTTTAATATATTACACATTAATAACAGCCTTAAGCTCACATAATAATGTTTATTTGTTCCAATTCATTCAAGTGGTTTTTAATATATTACACATTAATAACAGCCTTAAGCTCACAAAATTCATAATTTGAAAATCCTATCAATCAATACAAAAACAATTATACAGTATATAATTATTGCATTTTGAAATAATGCCTTTTACAATTTTAATTATGCCTATCTTAGGTTCACTCAAATTTTGATACCCTGTTGTGATTTATTTTTAAGTTGATTGCTAATAAGATATTTTCTTATTTAGGAATCAAGCTCTTTTGTAATTACAATTTTTAATGTTTCCTATTCAATTGCTACTTTTATTACTTAAATAACATTATTATAATTGATTGTGTTTATAATTTCTTAGGCTGTTGAAAATTGCTTTATTGAAAAATTTCAAAAAACAAATTAAAAAACTAGAAGATGGCATTTATTTTGTTTGGAAATTATTAGTTTAATTATTCAAAAATAGAAATTATTTTTAATTCAAAKTTTTTTAGAAATAAGTTAGTCAAAAATTGTAATTTATTAATTAAATATTGTTAACTGTTTAAATTTTATGCTGTGAATAAAAGCTAAATAAAATAATACCTTGTTAGTAAAATGAATAATTTTTTGAAATATACAAATAAAAGTAAAATAAGGTATTGTAACTGTAACATTTAAGTTACCTACTTATAGTGGAGCACAATACTACTGGATGATACATTAACCAGTGGTGTATCTAGAAGAGTGGTTAGGGGGTTTATAACCCCCCTAAATTTACTTATTATTTATAAAAATAATAATAAATTAATAAATTAGTATTACACTTAACATTTAACACAAATAATAAAAATTAATTATATATAAGTTCACTCCAGAGTAGTCTATTGTCTATTCTATAATCTAGCGTTTCTTAAACATTTTATCCCTGGAACCATTTTTGTTGTTTACTTTTATCATGGAACACATACTTTTTTTTATAGCTTTTTAGCTTTTTTTAGGATTATTTGCAAATAAATTATAATATTAAGTAGAATTATAGATTATTGAATATAAAGATAACTACTCGATTATATTCGGTATGGCTTATACATTATCATTTAATATTTTTTTCCATAGTGGATATTTTAAAGTAATTTTCTTGAACATTTTTTAAAATTACTTAAGCTTTGTWTAACCCCAAAGTGATCTACTGGGTTATGCGGAACACAATTTAAGAAACGCTGCTATAATCATTGGTTTTAAGCTAAACACATTACGAGTCACTCGATAAGTCAACCATCACCAGTGGAGCCAAAGTGCTTAAAATATACTRTGACACTAAACATTAAGGAGCTCCCATCATACTCCCATTTTTATAATTAAACTATCAGATGCAAATTAAAGTATCTACAACTATCTAATGTAATGTCAATGTGTAATCGTATATTTTTACGTTTAAACATATATTCTAGGAGCAGTATCTTACTGTGGACCCCTCATCTAAAAATTCTACTGTGACATGTCAGATAAATTAGGTGATCAGCGCTACTGGCCGTCACAATATAGTAATATTGTTGGAGAAACTAGTCATTTATTTTACATACTCTAGATTCTATTCCAAATTGCATGGATTCGCCTACGCATGCTAAAAACGGTATTATCCAATAATAAATACACGTGGGTACACCAAACTTCTTATACATAAAAGTCTACTAAAACCAATGTGGAATTACGGTCTGCAATTATGGCCTTAGTGAAAATGGGTAGTGAAAAAAAAAAAACGTTAATAAAATTCAAGCATTCCAAAACATTGTTCTAAGGTAATTAACAAATGCACCTCCTTACGTCTCGAATTTTTCCCTTC